AGAGCGGCCGCTAGCGCGTTCAAATAGCCGGCGGGTCGCGCTGGCCTATGGGCACACTGAGACAGATGGGAAAGATGAGGGCGGCCGCAGAGGAGGGGAGAGGCCTCAGACGCAGCGAGTCTGTGCCGTTGAGGAGCGCGCAGAGGCAGCCTTTAAGCACCAGGAGCGCATGTTTTTCACAAGTTCTGCGGGTCAGTGCGTGGTGCGGAAGGCGAGGCAGCGCCAGGGACCATCGAGGGGCAAGCATTAGGTCGGGCATGTCCCCCTACAGGCGGATTTTGGAAGAAAAATATTTGTTCTACTATTTCTTAAGATTCCCCCTGTAGAGGGACAGGCCCGACTGAAAGCAACCACTGATTTACCCGAAAATTGATTTTCACGTCGACTCTTCAACAATAGCACGTCAACCATTCGCAAATCTGCGAAAGCTCTACGAGTTGCCCGTGGATTCGACAGGAAAAAATCAATCCTGGGGCAAAGCAATTCTGGAGTCGATCCCCTGCCCCGGCCATGCCCTGCAGAGGGACAGGCCCGACTGAAGGCAAGCACACACCGCCCTGCGCGCTCCTGCCCCCCCCCCCCTGGGCCCGAGTGGGCGCCTGAGCCGCGTCCAGCAGCTGGCAGCCGAGCGCCCGCTCGATGGCCTCTGGGCGAGCGGCCGAGGGCCCCCCCCGCCCGGCGTGCGCCGAGCCCGAGCAGGCGCCTTCACTCTCTCTCTCTCTGGAAGGGGCCCTGGGGCACACCAAGATAAATACACACACACACACACAAATAGCAGGATGCCCCCCATATTCCCATACCTTCCTGGGTGCTCGTCTTCTCCCCCCCACATTCCCCACACATCTTCCCCCACTTTCGGGGGAATCGACGCTGAATTGTGTCTGTGTGTTTTTCCCTCCTGATCTCTCTCTCTCTCTCTCTCTCTCTATTCGCGGCGTCGGGAGGGTGCACCCGACCAACTGGTCGCGGGGGCGATGACGAGGGCCCGGCTCAGCGCATGGGATCGGAATCCTTAATTATCTTGCACAGGGTGGCTGCTCCCGTCCGATCCTCTGGAACGGACAAGTATCCTCGTCTTGCCCCCGCCCAGCCCTGTCGTCCCCCCCACCCTCTCAAGCTGACTGGGGCGGGGGGGAGGAGGGGATGGCGAGGAGGAGGAGGAGGAGGAGGAGGAGGGGAAGGAGGAGGAGGAGGCAGGGACGGGACGGGGCAGGGGGGGTGCTCCCTGTCTAGAGCTCCGACCACTTTATTCCGCGTCGCACACCCCTCCCCCCCCCCGCGTCCCCGAGCCCCCCCGCGCCCCCAGCGCCCCGGCTGGGGCCCCGCCCACTGCCCCTCCGCCACGAACGCTTTATTCCGCGCCGCGACGCACACCACCTCCCCCACCTCCCTCCCCGCGTCCCCAGCGCCCCAGTGGGGGCTCCGCCCCGTGCCCCCTCCGCCTCGACAATTTTATTCCGCGTCGCGACGCGCACCACCTCCCCCCCTCCCCCCCCCGTCCCCAGCGCCCCAGTTTGACCTCCGCCCCGTGGCCCCTGCCCCTCAGAGCCCCCCCTCCGGTCCCCTTCCGCCACGCCCCACTGTAATCCGCGTCGCGAACGCACAAGATTACGGCCACCATCCCCCCCCTCCTCTCCGCGCCCCCAGCGCCCCAGTGGGGTACCTCCGCCCCCTGCCCCCCCTCCGCCCGACACTTTATTCCGCGTCGCGACGCGACCAGCCTCCCCCCCCCCTCCCCAGCTGGGATTTGGGCCCCGTTGCTGGGCCCCGAGGGGCGATGTCTTGCCCCCTCTTCCCCCCTTCTCCTCCACCTCCTCTTCCTCCCCGTTCCTTTTTGTGCAAGAGTCGTGGCACACGTGCCACTGGTTACCCCGCATCGAATCCTCAGTGTCCGCTCGTGCGCGTGCCGTGCGCGTCACAAGCCGCGTGAGAAGAGATCGCGAGGCAGATCCGCAACCCCAGTCCAGAGGAGTGAAGGCCGATGCTGCATTGTGCAGCGTTGTACCTCCCTTGCCGAAGCAGCGACCCCCAAAACACTGTCGCAGCACGTCCCCAGCTGGGGCGCCAACTGCACGAGACAGCGTATGGGACTGCTGGAACTAGCCAAGAACAGGCGACGTAGCGCCTGCGCGGACCCTGTGAGCTCCCTGTGAGCTCCCTGCGCGTACCCCCCTTCGAACCTGCGCCTTGACTGGCTTATTGCCAGGCCCTTGGAAAAAACAGTCTCCAGATTTCCTGGACATGCTTTTTCGCTTCTCGGCTTTTCTTCGACCTCGCCCTCTGAGGGCGGGCCGCCATCGGGCCCTGGAGACATCAGAAACGGGCCCTGGGCGCAGAACTATCCCCGGGGAAGAGGTTGGGACATCTGAGGCCGCGGATTGGAAAAAAACATAGCGGAGGATGTCCGGGGAGAGCGCAGCCGCCCAAGCGATGGGGGGCGAGGAGGAGGAGGAGGAGGAGGAGAAGGAGGAGGGAGGCTGCTGCTACTGCTGCTGCTGCTGCTGCTGCTGCTGCTGCTGCTGCTGCTGCTGCTGCTGCTGCTGCTGCTGCTGCTGCTGCTGCTGCTGCCGCTACTGCTGCCGCTGCCACTGCCACTGCC